AGGTTGTAGTGAGCCGAGATTGCACCACTGCACTGCACTCCAGCCTGAGCGACAGAGTGAGAGTCCATCTCAAAAAAAAAAAAAAAAAAAATGTCTGGCTCACAGTTAATCAGTGCATAAGTAAAAGCCCCAAGAGATGATGGGAGATCTTCCTGGTTTTCTTACAATTAACATTTGCTCACTGCCTGATTTTGATTAGCAGTGGCCTGGCTTCTTGTTAGGTACCCCAAGAGGCTCTGCTGTTCACCTACTTACAGGATGATACATAGCTCAGAAGGAACCCAGAAAAGACAAAGACTTGCCATTCAGGAAGGTTAAAATATTTGATGGAGAGCGCCTCACCCCTTTTCTGCTGGCAAGATATCAAGAGTAACAATAGCTAATTATTTAATGAACCCCATATTTATTAATCGCAGGTACTGTGCAAAGAGGTATGTATACATCATCCCACTCAACCCTAATGACAACTCAATGAAACAGTCCCTATTACAATTTCCACTTATCAAGTTGAAAAACTGAGGGTTAGAGAGGTTAAATAACTTGTCCAAAGTCAAACATAGCTGTTAAGTGTAGAAGCTGGTATTCAGAAATACAGAGCATCCCTTCTTCAGGCCCTGGCTGGGTTCTCCAGAACAGACAGAAGTGGAGTTCCATTCAACATTGAGAGAAGTTTCAAAAGGGTGAGGGGAACCTGAGCAGTGGGCCACACCTTGTTAAGTCCCAATCAGGACTGATGGAAGAAGCATCTTCCAATGTTCCTTCTCATTCATTGGTCTCATTTCCACAGGGCATGGCAACTGTCTGAGGAGGAAAAATTACCTCTAGGATGAAGCATTTTACCTTTTTTTTCATTTTCTAAGATGATCTCAGATACCTTGCGAAGCCACATAGAACAAAAGGGAGTCATTACATATTTGGAAAATGCATTGGACTCTCATAATTTGGGAATTAGCTATAAGACTGACAAGCCGGTACACCTAATTTAAAAAAGAGTAGAATTCTTTAGGTCCTATACCCTTAAAAGGAAACAGAGAGTATTCAGAAACTGCCATTAAGAATAATCTGAGGGTAAAGAATCGGATTTTCACTCAGTTAGCACTATAACGTCACTACCAATCTACCCTTATTGTAAACTGTGCTAGCTTTGTTCACCCACCTCTGGTTAAGGGTCAGTCGTTGACTCACTGGAGTTTGGACAGCTAGGGGAGGCCAGAGGCTGTATAGCTCGACCACCACAGGACTCACCTCTCCTTAATCATAGATGACAAGACCCTGCCTTCAATCCCTAATTAAGCTTGGCTGCTCCCTATTCATCCTCCACTTCTGAGGTCAGTGAGGGAAGCTGTTCAGTGAGAAGGTGGACTTCTGATTACACTGTAGGAGAAAACATGAAGGTGCCACTTCCTCGAAGGCCTTATGACCACTGACTATAAGAAGAAAGACTCGTCGGGCGCGGTGGCTCATGCCTGTAATCCCAGCACTTTGGGAGGCCAAGGCGGGGCAGATCACCTGAGGCCAGGAGTTCAGACCAGCCTGGCCAACATGGTCAAACCCCCGTCCTCTACTAAAAAATATAAAACTAGCCATGCATGGTGATGGGTGGCCTGTAATCCTAGCTACTCAGGAGGCTAAGGCGGGAGAATTGCTTGAACCAGGAGACGGAGGTTGCAGTGACTGACACACGTGCCACTGCACTCCAGCCTCGGCGACAGAGTAAGACTCTGTCTCAAAAAAAAAAAAAAAAAAAGAAAAAAAAAAAAAGACAGACAACCCCATTCTGGCCTGTCCTCTGGCCTATCCCTCATCCTCCATCCCTCATCTCTAGAGCTATTACCAAATGTTTTCATTCATGGAATAACTTGCCTGCTCTGGGCCACCAGTATTAGCAAATATATGGGTTCCAATTGGTTTAAGATAGTATGTTAAATTACAAGTCAAACACAACTTTGATCGGGATTGTAACTCCGAGAATTGTTAATTTTGATAGGATCTGGGGCTCATGCATATGAAAGGTTCATTCTGGTTAGGGATTTGGGGTCCAATTTGCTTCCAAGCCCTGGTGCGGAATGCATCAACCTCTCGCAGTGACCAGCCTTCATCATGCCTGCGACTTGCACGATATGGATGATTAAGCTTTAAAAATCTGAGAGCTTAGAAACTAGCAAGTTAAGGTAGAGTAGAAAAACTCTCTAGCTTTGGAGAAGTGGCTAACGTAGGAGTTTTCCAGGGAAGGAATGGCGTTATTTTGATCTTCCCTTGTGCCCTTATATCATCTCCCCAAAACTACTGTTGTTTTTCTAAATCTATGCAAATAATAGAGAAGTATGTAGAAGCAAATAACCTTTGTAGTGAATTGGGATCCTCATCCTGCCCCAGACCTGAGGCTAGGATGAGGCTGCTCCCTGCAGAGCAGGTCTTCTCTGGCTCTCTGGTCTTAATACTCAAGATGTGGTGGTCAGGGTAAGTCCTATAGTTCTAGGGCCCATGCTTCTAACATAATCAGCCCATGGACTCCTAATGGAATGAATTGGGGCCAGGCACAGTGGTGCACACTTGTAATCCCAGCACTTTGGGAGGGCCAATGCAGGCAGGATCACTTCAGTCTAGGAGCTTGAGAATAGCCTGGACAACATAGCAAAAAATAAAATAGCCAGCGCCTGGTGACGCGCGCCTACATCTTTCGAGGTTTGTAGTGAGCGATGATTGTACCATTGGCACGCTAGCCTGGGTGACAGAGCAAGACCCCGTCTCTAAAAAAAAAAAAAAAAAAAAAAAAAAAAAGAAAAAAAGAATGAATTGCAGTAAAACATAAAAGAAGGCTGTTCTTCTCACTAAATATTCTAATGACCACTGGGACGAAAACTCTGGATCTTTTTTTTTTTAAAGACAGAGTCTTGCTCTGTCCACCAATGTTGGAGACCAGTGGCACATCATAGCTCACTGCAAGCTTGAATTCCCAGGCTTCAGCCATCCTTCTGCCTCAACCTCCAGAGTAGTTGGGTCTACAGGCATGCACCACCATGCCTGGCTAATTAAAAAAAAAATTAGTAGAGATGAGTTCTTGCCTTGTTGACCAGGCTGGTCTCGAACTCCTGGACTCAAGTGATCCTCCCACCTTGGCCTCCCAAGGTGCTAGGATTACAGTGGTGAGCCACTGTGCCTGGCCAAAATCTGGATCTTAATAGACAGAAGTTGTTCTTTCCCAACTGGTACTTCCACACCAATTAACACACATCAACTCATGGATGAAAGGATTCTTAACAGAATGGGACATCGGGCAGGTAAGTTTGGAACAGGAAACAGAAGCCTATGGTGGCTTATTGTTCAGACAAGGGCTTTATCATTGCATAACAGCCCAGGATTGGTAAGGGTCCTACCAAAAGGAGAATGTGGACTGTTAAAAGCCTCTCTCACCTCTGGAGTGCGAGTGCTACAATGGCAAGCAGCATCTGTGTTTTAGTTATTGCTGGATCATGAGAATCTAGTGTATGACCTTCCATAATGGGCCACACAGAAGTTTGTGTTGAGTTCCCAATTTTAATAAGTCCGTAGGGACTAGGTAAGGGGTTACTTTCTTCTGTCTTCCACTATGAGATGAGGTCATTGCAACACAAGACCTGAGTGAGGAGTAGATAGTGGTACCTGCCTCCAGAGAATCACTGAGGGGTTTTCACAGCATTCAAGGAGGACTTGGAACATCTACTTCAGCTGAGGGAACACTCGAGTTTTGCCTCTAGGCTTCTGTGAGTCAAATGCAGATGATCTTCTCCCACCCACACTTGAGGTCCAGACCTGTGCTAAGCATTGACTGAGTCCCTCTCTCCTTACCTGAATGCCCTCTCTTTCAGGGTTGGGAACTTCTGAGACAAAAGAGTTGAGTTCCTAGTTGAAGTGAAAGCTCCAGAGAAGTTGCCTAGGCCTGTCCCTTGCTTGGTAGGGCCAATGGCTTTCAGTAGAGTATAGGGAAGATGGACTTTACCCAGATCTCCCAAGGGAAGTCCTTGTGTATGTGGAAGAGTCTAAGAGGTCTCTGCTAACTTCAGAAAAGGAAGAATCTACCCAAACAAGAAAAAGCATATGGTAGAAATACCATCCCACACCATGCCTCATAAGAAGATGTTCCCAAGTCATTTTTCTGATGCTTCCCTGGGCCAAAGGTATAATAGCTAAAATAATAATAAAAAATAAAAGTGATAGACATTTGGTATGTGCCAGGCACTGAGCCAAGCCTTGCAAATATCAACTCAATCACCACAATAACTTTTTGAGGTAGGTACCCATTTTAAGTGTCAAGAAACTGAGGCTAAGAGAGTTTAAATAACTTTTCAAAAGTCACTTAACCAACCAAATATAGGAGCTAAGATTTGAATGCAGGCCTTCTTGGCTGCAAAGCCTGAACTGTCCACAGTTACGCTGTTCTCAGGATGCCATCCAGCCTATCAGAGACCTATGCCTACTTCTATTGCTGAGTGAGATGGGAAAGAGAGGAAGACAGGATTTAAAAATAAATTTAATATATGTCTTTGTGCACACATATATACACAAACACATGTATCACTTACGTATCTAGAGTGCTTTAAAATGAGCCAACTCACTTCTGATTTCATTCTCAAAATAACTGTGTGGGGTAGCTATTATAATGTGAATACTCCCATTGTTTAGGTATGATAAGCAGATTACGAAGAAGGTAAATAATTTGCCCAAGAGCATACAGCCACATGGTTGCTTGAACCTATGTGGTTTGATGCCAAATTCATAGCTCTTTCACTATCACATAGTGCCACGATAATGAGACACACTCTGAGTCAGCTAACATTTATTAAACACCCACCATGGGTCAAACACCGTGCTAGGCTCATTTGTAAACAGTCAATAATTATTCATTGATTGGTCTTCCAGTCCACTAACTGGACTGTCGCTGCAGCAGACTCCAAGTCTAGTAAAGGTTTTATAAAATAATAAACAAGAGTAATAATTCTTCTTTTTCTTTTTTTTCCTAGGTACTCTCAGTAGCCTAGACCAAGCTAAATATTTCTCAAAAGGGTGTTGGTGTCACCTGAAGGACCAGGCTAGAAAGGAAAGCTGTATTAAGCCTGAAAAACACAATTCTCAAAAACTCTCAAAGTCCCTGAACCAACGATGGAAGGTCAATAGTCTTCATTCTCTAGGTTGGATGTGTTTTTAATGCTATTTTATTTACAAACTAGTCCACCTCACATCTCTAAGATGCCCTCTAGCTTTGCTCCCTAGTAGGTGAGGAGCAAAAGGCAGTTGATGAAGGAAGGAAAAATACTCTTTTTATTGGGTCCATCAGGAATGTAGGCCCATCTTCCCCTTGACCCTTTAAGCACCAAGCCCTGCTTCTTCCACAACATCAATTGAATTTATTGCCAAAGTAATATCTGAGAACTTGTTATCCTGGGCCAGGAGACCCCTGGGCAGACCTCAGAGCAGTTTTGAGATAAACAAGAAGAAGCACTAAATAATTAGCACAATTATTCATGAATCAAGACAAGTATATTTTATTACTTTTAGGTGGTGAAACCTACGTACAGATCAGTCAGGGTATCTGCTGGATGGAAACAAGCTTGAAAGTGGTGGGTGCAGATTGGAATCAATACGTCATCTGCAAGGCTTGGGCTCTAAGCCAAGGCTTCGATGAAGAGATCAGCAGATGAATTCTCCCCTCAAAGGTGTGACAGCATCACCAGGAAGTGGTGAATTTTCACAGAGTGGGACTCGGTTAGAGGATAAGAAAGTCCCAATGGGTCAAAAATGGAGGTTGTTGAAGTTTTTTTGTTTTTTTTTGTTTGTTTGTTTGTTTTTTGCTGCAGATACAATTATTCGCTTGATGAAGGAAGATGAGTAATAGGGCTCTCAGCCTGAGGTCTAGGTTACTTCTTACTTCCTCCCACCTGGATTAACTTCAGGAAGGTGCAACTTATGTAGCTGCAGGGCCCTAGGCTCAGAAGGGCTCCATGCTTGGTTTAAGATTCTACTGTTATTGCTTGAAATTCTTGAAAATTATGTCTTTGAGCCTGTGTTTTGTAAGTGAAGTCTATGGGATAATAGAGAATGTGTGTGCCCATCCATCGTTCCTGCCCCCACAATGCTGGCAGTAGCCCAGGAGTACAGAATTCCAGTGGGAGCTCAGCGAGACTCACGGTAAGTAGAATGGAAAGTAAGCCTATGACTACGCATATGGGGACATGGACAGTGCCCAGAGGTCATGCTTTCTGTTTGAACCAGCTGCTTCAAATGCAGAAGGAAGGCAATGGAGTTCTAAGAAACACTAATGACTAAGGGACCCTAGAGTAGCATTTCTTACTTATGTTCCTTCCCTGTATTTGCCAAACACCCATGCTGAAAATGATGACGCAGAAGGAAAGGTGAAGATACAGCAATCCATACCTATTTCTCCTCAACAGCAAGCTGAAGGTGGAGAGTGCTGGTACAAAGCGCTTGTATCAAGAAGTGAAATAAAAACAGTGGAGAGCATTTTGTCAGCATCTCCACTGTTCTGGTAAGAATGAAATACTTATGCATATATGACCTATGAAATGTGAATTGTGTAATTTCGATGATTCTACAAATGAGTTAAATGCTCTTGTGTTTACATTTACAACTGGCATCACATAATATGAATGTATTATTCATATGTGATGAATAGTAAAATTCATGCTAAAAACTTAAAATTTTTATTTTTATTTAGCACCACATAAAAAAGAGCAAATAAAAAACCACCATGATGATTCTAGAGATAGATTGTGGAAGAAAGACAAAGGCATTATATGTAGGCACTTTCTTCCTGCTTTTTGAACAAGGGGCCCTACATGTTCATTTTGTGCCAGGCCCCATGAATTTTATAACCGGCTCTGCCCCTGCCCCTAGGTTTCTTTTGAGAAACAGGGCAAGCGCCAGGGCTCATCCAAGGTGATGAAGATAAAAGTTGGACTTCATTCTTGCCATAAATGAGTAGACACCTGCTTGCCGAAACGCTCTCCAACGTCGCGTGAAGGGGCAACTGACACTCCTGAATGAATATGAGGAAACCCAAGGCAAATTCAGGTTCACCACATACACTCAGGGACATCAGGTCCACCCCTAAACTGGATGAGGCATGTCTCAACTGGCATCTTCAGACTTGACAGACAGGAAGAAGGTCTGTTTCCTTGTGTTTGTGGCTCATGAGCCGACATGGGCTCTCATGGGCTCCCATGTGGAGAGAACCCTGGGTACCCACATACATATTGTTGTGGTCTTTGCACATATGTGTGCATGTACACTGCACATACATGTCTGCATGTGACAGGTGCCTGGGCACCTGCTAGAACCTGAGGGAGGCGGTCTTTCCATGGATCTCCGGGGGGAAGGCTGATGGACATGAAATACTTTTTAGGTGCTATCGTTCTGGAACTTGGTCCCCAGAAAGCCACAGCTCAGAGTAAAGAGAGATACTGACGGTCTTGGAGGACTCTGGAGAGCAGATGGCGATAATTCCAGGACCAGATTTTTTTTTTTTTCTTGTAACCACTTCCCCCACAACCTTTACTTCAAAGGGAGACAAACACTTGTTGACTTAAGCAAAAAACAGAAACAATTTCCTTCTGAGAAGTGCAACACAAAGAAACCTGATGCTTTTTGGGCTATGGAAGACTCCCCATCCCCCTTCTTGGAGCAGGACCTTCAGTGATGGGGACAGTGGGTGTCAGGCCAGCTGGCCTGGTTTTACTTCACACCAGCAGATCCAGGGGACGAGCCACCATCCTCTCTGCTTTATTTAGTGAGACAGCACTTCATAGCAACAGTAGGCTTAATCACAGTCTAGACCCACATTTCACTTCCCATTTCTATGCCTACTCCTTGCCTTTTGGTTATTTGGGGTGGGGGGTGGCAATGGCATGCTGATTCTATCTTCCAAGCACCCTCCCCAAATCTCCTACTTCCCTGCTGGAAAGGATTCCCGTCTCATGTTAATTTGATGACCCAGCCAGCTGCACCTCTCCACCCCCGCACCCCCAGCACAAAAGAAAAAGCCACTACCTTACTCCTTCAGAATTACATTCCCGCTCAGGTGGTCTTCTTAACTACCAGCCCAGTCCAAAGAACCCTCGTCATATTTCCGGGTTCATCTGAACCAGACATTCAAGTAGTGCCCCCACATGGATATTTAAGGACCATGGAGGAGGGGGTATTCCCTCCTCCCCCTGTGTTCCACCTCCCAGAAGTGGCTGCTTTTCAGAGTGGAGGTGATTCAGCTTTCCTAGAAGATCATTTGCAGGGGAAAAAAATTTACAGTACTACAGCTGAGAGTGCTGCCTGCTTCCCTCGATGAAAAAAAATCCTGCTCTCAGACACATGGAATTCCCATTGATGAGGTTTGGCCAACACCAGGCACTGGATTTTCCCCATTAAACTTAAAGCTCAGGGTGAAAGATGCAGGGGTGAGAGAAGGGATAACGATACCTTTTCAACCTTTTCAGCCCTCTGGGGGATTTGAACTTTGGCCCCCAAGGTCTAATGGCTGATGTTCAAAAGCCCCCCGCCCTCCATCCCTCCACCTCTCTTCCCCAAGCTCCTTCCTAACAAAGAATGATTCTCTTTGCTACACACAATAAAGCCCTGGTGGATTTACCCAGATTAAAAAACCCCTTGAAGTCCCTGTCAAAACTAATCTTCTCAGGAGAAACACTTGTTGATAACCACCTCGCTTTGTGCAGCAGCAGGGAGGAGCTGGGAGGACCAGAACCCAACAGAGAAACTGGCTTGTGACCTCCCTATCGTCACATGGCCCCAGGCACGATACAATCCCTGACCTCAGAGAACGCCCCTCCTCCCACGACACACAAATATTCTGCAAGCCCCCGCCCCATTTAGCTTCTCCACCTCAAGCTCCCTCTGTAACAACACCAGCCCCTCAAAGCAGGAAGGCCAACCCTGTAGGTCCCCAGACCGACAGACCCTGGCTGAGCTCCAGCCTTTCCCTCCTTCTCTGCCGCCCCGGAGCTTTAACTCTTCACCCTGCAGGGCCCAGCCTCTCTTGTTTTTCCTGCTGCAAACTTTGTCAGGAGCCTTTTCAGGCGGTTTTCCTCTATACAACCAGCCCTTAAGATATCATGCATAAAGATTTCCCTCTACAGGTGGTTGTGAGCTGTAGCAGTTTTTGCTCTTGCAATGGAAACATTTATTTTAAATTTCATTTTACCCACAAATAAGCTTTTAAACAAAAATTATTTTACTTACACCCACTAAAGACTTAGCATTTTCTCCAAATAGTGGGGAGAAGATTAAGTTCTCTATGCAAGACATGTTACCACTCCCATCACCACCACCATACCCTGATTCTTTATCTCCCCGACTCTCCCCACTTTGCTCTGACTTCATGAAGCCTTTTTGGAACTAAATTTTCATGTGCAAAATAATTACAAGAATTAAGACACTCAGTGAATGAGAATCAATCCAAGATACGGCCAAGTGGCAGAAGCACATGCCCACTACAGAATACCCCTCCACCCTCCACCCCCAAACCACAGAACACTAGGGTGGGGGAAGCCAAGACGGCACCCCCTCCCCAGCTTAACAACAGAGGACTGTCTTCCAGCTGGCTTGCCTCCTGCAAAAACCACACACACAAGACCCCAGGAAAGCCTGCCCAAGAAGTCTAGGCAATTTGTACAAAGATAATTGTTCAATGAAAACGACAGTAATCATGGTCGGTCATACAAATCTACTCCTCCAAACATTCACCAACTGACATCATAAACTTTGCAAAAGCCAAACACAAGACAGTGCATGGTATAACCTACCTTGGCGAGCTCCTTCACTTTTTGTGCAAATGTTTTCCCCTCCGCATGCTTTACATAGATTTCTAGGGAAATTTGGAAGGACTGGTGAGGGGGTGGGGGGTGGTGAGGGAATGAGGGTAATATAAATAAGGAAGCATTTTAAATGCACCACGCAAAAAGCTCGGGATTTCACGTTATGTGTCTGCACTCTTCCCGGAGCAAAGCAAAACAGTTCGCGTTCAGTGCCAGACTTGGAGGGAGAGAGAGAAGAGAGAGGGTGGGGGAGAGAGGGAGGGGGCGAGAGGGCGGAAAAAGAGGGAGGGGGAGAGAGAAAAAGAGGGTGGGGGGATGCTGAAGGAGAGAGGGAGAAGAAGAGAAAGAAAGAGGAAATGAGAGAGGAATAGACGGAGAGGAGAGGGGAGGTGAGGGGAGAGGGAGGGAGGGAGAAGAAAGGAGGGGGAGAGCCAAAAGGAAGGAGGAGAAAGAGGAGGCAGCCCCCTCCCACGCTCCCACCCCCACACATTCAGGCACCTTCTGAGTAACTGATCAGAGCAAAGAACTCATCTCCTACGTTTAAAAACCCCGTTTGGGACTAAGTCCCGATGCACACGCGCTCGGGTCTATTTATAGACAGACCCTAATGATATGTATTGCATTCTGAACGTAAATGTGAAATATGTGTGTGTGTGCGGATTACATACGGTTCCTTTGACAGGTATGTTTTTTTTTTTTTTTTTTTTTGCACTGCAGTGCGTCTGATTATATCTGTTTGGATTTTCTTCTTTCTTTTTTTGCATCTAAAAAGCATGCATCAAATTTGAAGGTGTTCGGGAAAAATGGTGGGGGTCTCAATGCTTACAAAACCCTGGCTTTTTTCCCCCTGCAAAGCTGGG